TTAATAAATTAAAAATATAATAATTAATTAAATTTAAAAAATATAATATTAATAATATAGAATTTCACAACCACCCTATAATAAGAACAAAGCATTAATTTAGAGTAGGGTAGTGTGAAGAGTAAAGGAGGCTGAACGGCCACTCCGGCCTAGTGGTATTGGACCTTGGGTTAGAGCTATTCACCTCCAGTGGGTTGCACGTTCGAACCCCACGAAATCCCTTTCTTCCCTCCCCCAATTAACCTGGTAAATAATTACAAATTGTTAAAAAAAAAAAGAAAAGAAAAAGCTACCCGTTTGACGAATTTTAACAAAAAGGTGGGTGGACCTGCAGCATTCAACAATACAATAAATGAGTGTGTGGAAGTTGGAACACGCTAAAGTGAAAGGAATGGAAGACCATTTGACTTGTTAACTTAATTACCTACCCTGGTCCCTCATGGAAACACAAGTCAATTAACCAACCTTGGAAATCTTGTTTCCTGGAAGCATCCTATTAAAATTATTGAGAATGCAACAGAGAAAAGAAGACTGACCTTTGATTTTAATTATAAGCAGGAGCCCCTTGAATCCAAAAGTAAAACAAGAAAAAAACCATTAGCCTGATTTCTATCTAATTTATCTCTTTTTTATAATTTGATTAAGGAATAACCATTCTATCAAATGAATATTTTGATAAAAATACGAGTATTAAACTTGCAGAATTCAGATTTCAATCTTATTTCTATTGTAGCTGTCTTGTTCTTCATTCCTTACAAACTAGTTGCTCGAATCAAACAAGCAAAACACCAAAATGATACTATAAAACACACATAAATCATAATTTAGTACACATAAATCACAATTCAGATTGTAGTCCTATCTAGTTTCATAGCAAGCTGCAGTTAGCTCTTCTTACAATAGAAGATACAAACCACACAAACAGATTTTGATTTGTTATTTGTTATTATCATTACACCAGCAAGACACAATAGATAAGTTGAGTCCTCGAAGTGTGAAGAAGGATGTTGAAACTTAAAACAACCTCCTCAGGTGATTTACTCTCTTATTTTCAGTGAAGTAATGCAACATGATGGTGTGAAATGGTTATGTTGAAATTATGGGTGTACATAATTATTTGGACTATGATTGTGTTAAAAAAAATTACTTATTTGGACAATATGATTTTAATGAGCCCTATAATTCTTATCTTATTATGTGCTTTGAACAAAAAAGGTTATAAAGCTATGAAAGTCTAACCTAAGGAAGATGACAGTTTAGAAATTTTGAACTGAAAGGTATAGTGGGCCAAATGGAATTCAACAATACAAATCAGAGTGTGCAACATGCTTAAGCAACTTAAAAGAAATGGAAGACCATTGACTTGTTGACTTGCCTACCCTGGTCTCTTTCTCTCAAGCTAGAAAACAAGACAGAATTGAATTAATTAACTTTGGAAATTTTAGTTCTCTCTCGGAAGCATCCATGCAAATACAAAATGAAGACTTGACCTTTGATTTATGAGCAGGAGCTCCTTAAATCAAAAACCTCAAAGAGAAATGAAATTTATGTTTACCCAAAACCATTATATTCACTTAGCCTGATAAGAACAAAATTAAGATTAATTTACCTGAACAAAAATGAAAACTGTCAAGGAAAATTGATCCAAATTTTACCTTTTGGTTCAACTATTTGAGTTTCGGAACCTTTCTGCTTATGTATATAAATAGCCGCAATGGAACGCATAGATTGAACAATGTCAACAGGGAACATAAAAGAATTAAAAATGATGCATTAATTTATTGTAGGTACACCATATATGATATCTTCTCCAGATTCTGAGGTCAAGACCATTGAGTTGTTAAGATCAATAAGATTGGAATTCATTGTAGGTAGACTTGTATGCATAAATGGGCAACTTCGTGATCACCACGAGTCAAGAAAGAATCTAATTAATTTATTGTAAGCAGACTATGCATGTAAGGACAACTTGGTGACCACCATAAGTTGGAATTTTCTCCGGATTCTTTATTTCTCCTGTAAGTACGTATTTTTTCTAAAAGATATTGGATTGTGCACTGAATTCTTCTAAAGGAAAGTAAATAAAAAAAAAGCTGGGAGCGTGACGGAACATATATACTACCACACTCTGTTTTCTATTTTTCCCGATCCAGCCAGAAAGGAAGAACCTAGTCCAAATTCTACTTTTACACATGGACTTAATCTAGCCAAAAATGAAAAACCTTTTCTTTATAAGTCTTAATAATATCTTAAAGTAAACCCACCATTCAACAAAGTATAAAAGCAAGTTCATGAGCAGCTCAATCAGACTAAATGTTTTTGCTTCCCTAAACCCTTATCTGATTCCAATTATGAAAGTTTCAGAAACCTAGGGCTCCCTCTATATACTAGTAAAACTTTGATATTTCGGCAATGAGGTTTCAGCAACTTTGTATAGGTTTACAGCCAACAACTCTGTACAACAAAAGATACAACCATCAAAACAGACTAACTTAACAAAATCAATATGCATAGGGCAAGATGGTACCAAAGGAAGAAAAAGGGGAAGACAGAACAAGTTTGTCGTTTTGACAACATATGATTGTTAAAAGATCACG